CACATGTAGTTGACGTTTCTATCTCCAAATTCTTCTTTAGAGTTCTTTTCTAGACACGTACTAAACAAATTTTGTTTATATTGCAGTTTCTTCTTTTTGTAGATTTAATAGTGATATGAGGATATCAGTTTGCTACATATACATAAAATACAAATAGACTGACTGTTGCAATACAGGTCCGTTTCCTCACTGCGACAGAGAAAACTGGCGAAAAGCAGTCCCTGCATCTCTTTCTAATTTACCAGGTTTATCGAACGCGTGACCTAAATGATCAATGAGAAGGTCACGTGGTCGATAAACCCGTCCCATTAGAAAAAGATACAGATATTGCTTTTCGTCAGTTTTCTCTGTCGCATTGCGGAAACGTGAATGTATGGCAGTATTCAGTCTATTTGTACTATATGTCTATGGTTTGCTACATGCATTTTCGCTTTTATCTTTTATGTGACAAAGTTATCAGCGATATCTAAATAGCTCCAATCCTTCAAAAGTATATGGTTTTATTGTTACATTAATGCTCCATTCTATATCATACCTTTTGTCTGTTAATGAACTTTTATTTGGTTTTCTTGTTATTGACTATAACACCGTTTTTTTCTTATGCTAAAACCATTATTCAATATATTATAATGTGTAATTTCTCTGGCTGCTGACGAACAGAAGTTTTTATTAACTTTTCTTTAATATAATTATATATGCAGATTTGTATTTTGATCTTCTCACGGTGCTAAAGAGCAAATGTAATAATTTATTGTATTTTTCCATAAGATTTCTAGTTTTTTACTGTGTCATGGCTCCTCTTATTTCTTTTCCTACGATTTACATTAATTCATTTAATTATTTTTTCTGAAATTTCAAGTTTATACACAATTTCTTTTGTTCCGCTTATTTATCTAAGATATGTTATTCATTCTTATCTATCTATCTATCTATATAAGGATTTTTACAGCTGTCGCCGCCTTCTTTCTTTCAGCCAACGTCTCCAGTCCTCTCTGTTCTGCCATTCTCCATCTCTAAGGTCTCGTTTTTCCATGGCCTCGTCCACTTCATCCCTTCATGATCTTCGGGGTCTACCTCTTTTTCTCCTTCCTATTGGGCTCCAATCCGAAATCCCTGCTATCCACCTTGTATGATCTGTTCATTCTTATCTATAGATGTGCTTATTCCCTATCAATTATCTATCAATATTTGAAGTCTTTTTTTATTTGTTTAAGTCATTGTAATGATTCGCATCCGTACATAAAAATAGGTCTAAAGCTTGTATTATGCTCTAAACTCCTTCAGTGGTAGTATTACCAACTGCGATTATTGTTCTAAGATATTTAATGTCTTCCATACTTTCGAAATTGAAATTGTTGACTTTAACGTTGTATCTAGATTTACTGACGGTCTCTTATGTTTATGCGCTGGTATTTGGTTTTCACTTCGTTGAGTTTACTTGAAACTTTTTTCGTGCTCTCTGGACTTTGTTCAGTATGTCGTTTACATATTTATAGATGTAATCATCAGCATAACTAGGAGCTGCTTTGTACCTTGGGCCGTTAATGGATTACATCGTAAATCGGCGCTGTTTCTATTTTAATAAATTGTTCTTTAATTTTTTTACTATTTAAATCGAGAATCTGTATTTTATTCGACTGTTTATTAAAGCAGAGTTTCTTGGGGCCAATTTCTCTCTCAAGGTTTTGTTTCCCGTATCAATATTACAACAATTTTGCTGGATGCCGACATAGGAAACCCGTTGGTATGTACATACTGTTTCGATATCTTTTTGTCTCGTTATAAAGTGAATATTAGTTTATTAGGAAATATGATATTGTCTAATAATAGTTAAGTTGTTTTGCTTTGCTTTCTCAGACTGCCACCGTCGTACCTTCTGGTATTTGATATTTCAACCGTCAAGCAACAATTCCTATATGCATTAACTTAATGCTGATATCCTGCTTCCCCAATCCAGTTAGCAGTCCCGAAACCAATAAAATTGCTACATTCAAGTTTTCTATTAAGCTGCCCAGAACTATAGGTACGCCTTATTATCTTACTGATGTTAGTGCTGCCCCTTATAAGTGAATAAAATATGAAAGGAAGGTTTTGGTAATTTAATAAGATCCTTGTGTTACAATATAATGTCTCCGAGAAAGTAAAGTAATATCAAAAAGCTATTCGGATTTAATCCATAGCTAAAATATTAGAATGCTATAAAATAATGCTATATATTAGCATTAATAAGTTTATAATGGATGAAGTTTGAAAATAATTAGAGAAAGTAATTTAAATTATCAAAGTGCTTATTAAACATGAAAATAAAATAAAATTATATTAACAATTTATATTATAATATATTTAAAAATAGTAGCCAAATATTCTTGGAATTCCTCGATGACTAACCTGGTGGATATCTAAATAAATTTTAAGTTCTAAAATGTACCTGCTCTAAAATTTGAAAATCTGCGACTAATACAACTACTGGCAACATCGCAGGAGCTTAATTATGTACGCTAAAAGCTGTATACGGATCCCAAAAATGTTTTATCCAGTTACGGAGTCCACTTGATCCGACGTGTTGGTCGGAGTCTACATAAAGCGCTACTCAGATAATAATATACACGGCGTATATTCTCCTGGAGTTAGTATAATACCGTTTTAGTACGGAGCCCATATTAACCGCTAGAAGTATATATATATATATATATATATATTATATATATATATATATATATATATATATATGTATATATATATATATATATATATATATATATATATATATATATATATATATATATATATATATGTATATATATACAGGGTGGGCCGCCGGTAACGCTTCGGTCTGTACAGCCGAAACAAGTATTATTTTCATAAATCGGTTTACGCTACGAGGCCTAGATCCAAAAGGCTACTTTTTAAAAATAATTTCAATTATACAGGGTGCTCCAGGAAAGTGCTACACATCAAAGTTATATTTTTTTAAATGGGACACCCTGTATTTTATTGCATTTTTGAATTCTAAGAACAAAATAAGTGTCACTTTGTTAAAGGTTTGTTATACTTAGAATCTACCGTTTTTGATATATCCAAGTATTTTTAAAAATTAGGGATGTTTAAAACATGCCAATAACTCCTAAATTTCCTAATATTTAAAATTAATTTTTTTATGGAAGATTAAGAATTAATTGTACTCTAAAATCAAGTACTTAGTATTCAAAAATATTTTACAGGGTGTTTGCGAATTAGATATTTATTAGTGGCACATTTAAACATTAAAAACTGCTCTATTTTAAATGTGACACCCAGTATATTTTTTAATTTTATGAAAGATATTCCAAATACCTTTCAAAGAATATAAGTATTCCCTATACCCATATTCGACAGTTTTGGATATAAAACCAAAGTTCTGTGATAGCTATACTTTATAACAAATAAGTAAATTTCTTTAACCAAGATAACTATGTTATCTTGGTTAAAGAACCATATATATATATATATATATATATATATATATATATATATATATATATATATATATATATATTATATTTAGCAGTTAGAAAATGGAAAAAAAATTAATAAAAAACGAAAGCCTGTATATCAAATTTTATTAAAATAAAATAATTTATAATGGATATTCTGATTGGTCTGTCACTTAAAGTTTCCCAAGGGCTGAATATATAGCATGTACATAATCAACATTTTAGTTTTAGACAAATTTTTCTTGACTGGCATAATTATTTAGTTCAGTTTTTTATTGGACTGCTATTCTTTGTTTCACGTTAAGAAAATAACATTACGCTTATGGAGATCAGTGTTGCCAAAACTCTCAGACACTCTCTTTTGCACGGATGTCCAAGATATTCCCTTTGCTTAATTTTTGAATTTTCATTTTCAATTAATATTTAACTGTAAAGTCAGAATAACTACTAAATAAAAGTCTTATTATCATTATGTAGTCAGAGACGACATAAAATAGCTGACAAACGCACATCGTATTATTTTAAGTTGCAATTAGTAATTAGATATACGCATTCCAAGCGGTCAATATTTTCTACTGATTTATATGATTCATGGCATATCGTATTCTCACCGAAAAACAAATAAACTGTCGTTACTATAATTAAAATAAGATAAAATAAAATTATCTTTTGTAAATACTATTTATCAAATTAAAATCATTTTCCCTACTTTTCATCTCTTGTTTCGAATGGGCACTTTTGGTCAATTACGTTAAAAAACATTAATTTAATTCATGTTTGTGGAAACGAAAATACAAATTATACAACCCTAAATTGTGCTTGTGTGTGTCGTGGCAACGCCGCGTTGCTATCGTCCATAAGAAATACATGGCCCTATCTCCGCAATGTTATTTTCTAAACGTGGAACGTAGTATAGTAGTTTTAATAATTAAAACAATTTAATAATTTTAATAGTTTTAATAATTATTATTCAATTGGATATGAAATAAAGTTATTTTTGGCATTATTTTATATAGTTTAAAAAAGCTGTGATTCATTTAATCATTGTGTTATTGTGTGATTTTTGTAATGAATGACGTGTATATTTTTATTTTTTGTTATTCTTTTTGGTCATATGAGTTGATCGACGTACATTGCTGGAAATGAATGAATTAAAATGTTGATTTTAGAAGCATTTTTGGTGAATTAAAATTCACCTCCACAAGCGTTTTTGAAAGTTCGAAGGCAAAGTCAAAAATAATATTGAGTTACACGCTGTAACATGTCTGTAATTATAAATTTTAGTTCGTGACCTTAATATTGCAATGTCTTAGTTTTATTTCCAATCATGTTTTTAATTTAACATTTTCACATCACTATTAATTCATTTCGTCTGCAGTCTGTTTTTGGACAAATCTTCCAGTGCAAATACATTGGACTGCCTTTGAAACTTTAAAAATATTTACATTACTTTTAACATTGTCTAATATAATGGTACAATAACCACTTCTTCCAAAAGTCTCTAAAATAACTAATACTATTTTTCAGTCCCCAAATTGCCTCCTATAGAAACGATAGAAAATTGTATGAAATTATCACCTATGATCGTCCAAGGATTATGGGAATTCAAATCTCCCCTTTTACAACTACCTTACATCAACGATGACAACTTAAAGTATTTCATGTCAAAGAAACGTCAGATTAAAACATTGCAGCAATATGCACAGCTGAAAGGTGAAGAAAGGAGAAACTTGCTTAGAAATCTAACCGATGATCAGTATGAAAACGTCATGAAGGTATTAGGAACAATGCCGTATGTTGATTTCCAAATACAAGTTGAAGGTAGTAACTATTTGATTTAATTATGAAAAATATTAATGTGATTTTTTTTAGTTATGGATGATGAAAATCCAAATGAAGTAACTGCTGGGGCCATAGTTACAGTTACTGTGACTCTGATCAGAAAAGATATGACTATTCTGTTTGGAGATGAGTCTACTAAAGATGTAACCGAAATTACCGAAAACGGTACTGAAGAAGTAAAAGAAGTCACAGGAGACGAGAACGTCTTAAAAAGACCAGCATGGCTTAAACAGAAAAAGAGTAAGTATGCAATAATAATTACTGTGATATAAAGGTAAAAACTTTAAATTCATTTTGTAATATTTTATAACGAAAGCGTAGGGTAGAATGGGGCACATTTGGACGTGCGGTACATTTGGACAACTCAATTTTACCGCTTTAAAAGCATCGTGAAGTTAGTTGCATTTCAGAGCGTACGTATTTTGGTGTATCGTTACCGCGTCAGTGTAAAAATTCAAATAAAACGTGATATTAATTGGTGAAAAAATTCTGAAAAATTACTGAAGGACTAATGTAAGTATTCACACTTTGTGTTCATACGAGTGTAAATATTTTTCTCTTGTAAATAGCCCAGTTTGTTTATCCTTGACTGGAAGAGTGTAGTGTATTGGTAACCATAACCTTAAAGTTAATGTTTCTTGACAATCCGTTAGACTATAAACATTGATGTAGAAATACAACGACTGTGGGGCACATTTAGACAAATCAGGTATGGCAGATTTGGACTAGCTCAATTGTGCCTCATTTCAGGAAAATGTATTGTTTGTTGAATATTATCATAAATTTAATAGATGTAAACCAAAATTCATTGTTAGAATGGAGCGTTAATATTAATTAACATCATAGATTAAAAAAACTACTCAGTTATGCGCCAAACTTATATTTTTTGTTTTTTACAGAATGGTGTGTAATTATAAACGCAAAACAGATCGAAACAACATTTGAACACAAGATTTGGCTAGTGCCATAAATGAAGTAATCGTCCATGGGCGGAAAATTCGAAATGCAGCAGCAATGTTCAATATAAACAAATTTACGCTTCACTTTCATATCAAGAAAAAGAGGTCAGCCAATGAGTTAGATTCAGGAAATGAAAGTGATAACTCCGTTAGTGCAGAATCACCCTCAACTTCACAATATTCATCTCGTCAAGTTTTCACTGCTGGTGAAGAAGTAGAGCTAGAAGCCTATCTACATAAATCTTCATCAATGACTTTGGGACTTACCTACAAACATGCTAGAATATTGACATTTCAATATGCGAAGAAACTGAATAAAAAATATTCAGCTACTTGGGACGAAAATCGGATGTCAGGAATCAAATGGATGCGTTCATTCATCAAACGCCACCAAAAACTGTCGTATAGAAAACTGGAAAATGTCAGCATTGCTCGCACGTCCGGTTTTAATAAAGCCAACATTGAAATTTTTTTTCAAAACTATTCCGAGGTTATGGTCAATTATAAATTTTCTCCTGATCAAATCGTTAATACTGATGGAACTGCTATTTCTACGGTCATGCTAGCACCAAGTGTTATATCAGAAACCGGCAAGAAGCAAATGTGTTTTATCAGAAAGAGGAACGCTCGTCACTTTCTGTGGAATTATAACCGCCACTGGTATAACTATTCCACCATTATATGTATATCCGCGAGTAAGAATGAAAGATCATTATTTATATGGAAGTGTTCCTGGTGCAGATGGGTATTCAACAAAATCATGCTGGATGTCAACAGCCGTATTTATTAAATTATTGGAACATATTCACAAACCTTATTATGCATAGTACTAGTTGATAACCACAAGACTCATGTTTCACTTGATGCAATTAATTATTGCAGAGAGCATGGAATAGTTATACTTTCTTTTCCACCTCACTGCACACACAGGATGCCGCCGCTGGACATTGGAGTTTACGGCCCGTTCAAAGCTAGGTGCAAGTCATATCCTTCAATGACTTAATTTTATCAAACCATGGCAAAGCAATAACGATCTACGATATTTTAAGTTTGACTGCCCAGCCATATTTATATACTCCTATTAATATAACAAAGGTTTCGAAAAAGCTTGAATCTGGTGAGTAAACAGTCTTAATTTTGACTATTCAGATTTTGCTGGAGTGCTCACCTATGGACATTCCATAAGTTTACAAGTGGAAAATAACCCTACACCAATAATACCTCCTGCGGATTTTGAAATAAATGCTATGAACAACTCAGCTCTTACTCAAATCCCCGAAATGCCTATGAAGGGAGATGATAATCTGGAATTTATTACGGACTTAGTAGGAGAGGTGCTAACAAATGTTTTCAGCGAAGCTTCTTATCTAGGAGTACCACAATCTACTAAACGTGCAAAAATTAGTAGATATTCGACCATTTCCTACATTGCAACCAAAGCAGAATAGGCGGGGTAGAAAAAAGGGAAAGTCATGCATATATACTAGTACACCAGAAAAGAATAGGGTAGAAGCTGAAGAGAAGGAAAGGAATGACAAACGAGTCAAAGTTGTAAAAAGAAAAATTAATGATAGTGAAAAATTAAAACCTGCACAAAAGAAGGCTAAAAAAGACCAAAGAAAAAATCATCTTACTCTAGTTCCTCAGAATCTGACGTATAGGTACGCTACGATGTCTGATTGCAATTCATATTCTGATATAGATGTGCACAGTGATCAAGAGGCAATAAATGGTCTTTTAGATGATGAAGAGGTTCTTGTAGGTGACTTCGTTTTGGTAAAATTTGCAACAAAGAAAACGGTTGTTCACTCTGTAGGCCGTGTAGAAGAACTAGTGGATAAGGAACTAACAATCAAATTTTTATGATACAAACTGAACAGTGGCTTTTATTATCCTACTCAAAATGATAATAACACTATATTCAGATCCGATAGTGTGGCAAAACTTTCTATACCTTTAGAAACCAAGGGAACATCTCGTCAAGCGTCTTACATAAAGTTCAATACCTTATTTTTCCCTATTACAACATTAAATAACTTCTTTGTCAAATAGGTCCATGTTATAACCAATAAATATCATTCGTAAGTACTTTGTGTATTATATTATTTTTTGTTTATAAGGCTTAGACAAATGTTTATCTGAATGGTCCAAATGTGCCCCACAGCTGTACAAATCTGCCCCATGGTGGGGTACAATTGGACAAATATACTGTTGAAGAAAATTTCTATTTTTTCTATGTTTGACTGGTTTATTTGTAGTTTCCTCGATAAATTTTCAAATACAACAGATACCACTATTGACTTGTACATTATCTGTCATAAATTATTAAAATATCTTAAAAATATTCCCTACTGAAAAATCATGTCCAAATCTACCCCACCCTCCCCTACCTTTCTTAAGTGAATTATTTTAATATCTATATACTATTTATGAATGGTGAAGAAATTAAGACTATAGAACTATTTGTATCAAATTTTATCATTGTAACACTAGGATACCCCCAAGAAGATGATTTTACACATAATCTATTCGACATTTTATAAAGACCATTAATCGACTGAGAGCAAATCATGCTCTTATGTCATTTTACATGCATGAAATCGGCTAATCAACTACTCCCAATTGTACTTGGAGCAAAATAAGCGATATAACACATGTTATATTAGAAAGTGATTTACAAATTAATAATATAACCGAACTTTATTACAAACTTGTTAAAATATGTAAATATAAGTTGTAAATAGTACATAGGCATAATCGGTTAATATGATTTGAAAAAAAAAAAACAAAAACAAAAGAATTAAGAAAATGGAAATAGAAAAAAAAAGAAAAAAATAACAAAAAAAGCAACAAAACAAAAAAAAGAAAAAAAAAACAAAAAAAAACAAGGAGTTAATAAAAGAATAAAAAAACAAAATTTATGTATCTATAAAAATATTAGTTATATGTAGTCCCAACATTGATAACTGATAACAAGAAAATTTTGACTATGAAACTGCAATCAATAATAAATAAAATTCAGTCGATATTAACAATAAACACAAAGAAGTCTGGCTAATTGGCTCTGCCAATGCCATTTTTCAAAAAAAAATGACCATGCAGAATTATGGTTTTAATAATTTCCCTATGCTTTCAGCTATTTTACTGTTCTTGTATTGTGTATGTACAGTGTCATCTAAACTAATTAAAAAATTCTTCTTTTTCCATCTTGTTACCAAGAACGCTTCGAAATTATTTATAGTATGTTCCTATTAATTGAAAACTTTAGAAATTTTAAAGCTCCTTTTGATATATAGAAACAAAAAATAATTATAATAGAAAACAAACACATTAGTTTAATCTGTATATACTTCAGTGTATTTACAGGCAGAACAGTCTGTTGATGTAAAGGAATATAAAGCTGGATTTTTTTTAGTTAAGTACAAATTTTTAGTCTACTAAAAAATAGATATCCAGTTAATTAGTTTTCGATTTTTAAATTTAAGTTGTAGAATTAGTTATATCCAATTAATAATTAAATTATTTTCATTCCAAGCTTAATATATTTATTGCTTCTTATTCTTATCGGTTTGTAATTTAGTATTATATATTTAGTATATCTGTTTGGGAAAGTATGTACTACATATTTCTTTTCATATTTTTCCATTTAATATTTTTCTGTTACTGTACTGTAATGTAATCTAATTAAATGCTCTATTCTAACGACTTTGTTAAAATATATTGCTTCCTGTTATTTCATAAAATTGTTAAACTGGCTATCTCATTTATTGTGTTTTAAGTACGGAGAATTTTACTTCTTTTGTTATTTTGTTTCGCCAATACACACAAGTGTAAAGTTTCGTATTACCGTGATAATTAGCTTAAATTATCGCATTCAAAATCACAATACAATAGAGTGATTTATTGATATACCCTCTTCCTACCAATCGCTTCGAAGTGTGGCCAGAGGGTTCTTTTCTACTTCATCATAGAACAGCGAACGAAACGGACCAGTTTTATCGGTCCTCGTGCTATACAGCCTCGGAGGCCATCAATATTTCAGAGGGTAAGTCTATATTCTTTGTACAAACAACAGTAATGAGTAAGACCAGTTAATTTCGTAATTTATTCACAGTTGATAGTTGCTATTTTCCGCTAGTTTATTTACCAACATAATATTGCATTTTTTCTTCATTATTATTTATCTAATATCATTTAACCAGCGACCTCTTAAATTTTATACAAAACAATATCCATATAACATAAAAGGAGATTGACTTATCAAACTTAAAAATTTCAGAC